CATTTCTCTTTGGACAATGTCATCCCTTCGCTGGCTCTGACAGATGTTTTTAACCATAATGCTTCCTAGACAGAAATGAACACTTCAGGGATAGGAGGGGTGTTTCTAGCAATAAAGTTCAAACGCTAGTACCACCAAGAGTTAAATAAATACACTTCAAAATTTTCTCATGGAAAATTCAAATGGACCAAATGCCAGTGTCATGCTTGTAACCCTAGCTTCTCATGAGGCTGAGACCTGAATAATTGAGATTCAAAAACAGGTGAAGCTTATACCTGTAATCCTAGCTACTCAGGAGGCTTAGATCTGAGGATTTTGGTTTGAAGCCAGCCTGGGCAGGAAAACTGGTGAAAAGACTGAGACTCTTAGCTCCAATTAATCACCAAAAAAGCTGGGTGTGGAGCTGTGTGGTAGTTTGCTATCCTTGAGCAAAAAAGCTCAGAGAGACAGTACCTGGGCCCTGAGTTCAAGCCCCAGAACTGTCCCCTCCTCCCCCTTACCTTCCAACCCCAACAGTTGGAGCAGCATAGTCTTAGAGACTCCCGTTTCCACTTAACTAGCAAAAAGTCCAGCTTGACGCAGATGATAGAGTGGCCGCTGAAATGCGAAGCTTTTGAGTTCAAACTCCAGGACAAAGAAAAAAAAAAAACCAACTATGTGATACTTGAAGTAAAAGTTCTCTAGTCTTTGGATGTCCCACATGTCCAGTTGGGAGTAAAACTGAGGGTATAATTAATTGGGAGACACTGAAATCTCTGAGAAAAGACAACTTTCTGATCCTATGTGGCTGGCGGCTTTCTTCTGCTCTTCTTTGGAGTACTTTCCCATTTATGCCACTGTTGGCTGTCCTTGTCTTCTGGGATCTTTGTCATTGATGTACCCATCCTTTTTTGTTTTGCTGGTCCTTGAGCCTGAACTCTGGGCCTGGGCGCTGTTCCTCGGCTCTTCAGCTCAAGGCTAGCGCTCTACCACTTGAGCCAAAGTGCCACTTCCAGCTTTTTTTTTTTTTTGCTTATGTGGTGCTGAGGAATCAAACTGAGGGCCTCATGCATGCAAGGCAAGCGCTCTACCACTGAGCCACCTTCCCAGCCCCTGTACCCATCCTTTATAGTGGTTTTTTTTTTATTTTTTTGGGTCTGGTCATGGAGCATGAACTCTGGGCCTGGGCGCTGTCCCTCAGCTCTTCAGCTCAAGGCTAGCAAGCCATAGCGTCACTTCTGGCTTTTTTCCTTTTGCTTATGTGGTGCTGAGGAATCGAACCCAGGGCCTCATGCATGCAAGGCAAGCACTCTACCACTGAGCCACCTTCCCAACCCCTGTACCCATCCTTTATAGTGTTTTTTTTTTGTCTGTCATGGGGCTTGAACTCTGGGCTTGGGTGCTGTCCTTGAACTCTATAGTTCAAGGCTAGCGCTTTACCACTTGAAATAGCGCCACTTCCTGTTTTCTGTTGGTTTATTGGAGATAAGAGTTTCATGGACTTTTCCTGCCCAGGCTGGTTTTGAACCTCGATCCTCAGATCTCAGCCTCCAGAGTAGCTAGGATTACAGGCGTGAGACACCGGTGACCAGCCTTCATAGTATTTATAGCCATACCAGCATTCTTTAGTCCTGGTTAGTTTCCACCTTAGGTAGATTGGAAACTCCTCAAATTGAGTAGATCTTCCCTGTTTCACATTTGTTTTTGTTTTTCTCTTAAAGACCCCTACAATCTTTTGGGGTTTATGGGACAGTCTCTAGTTGATCTCTTTGGTGACTGCTATTAGGTAGGTGGGTAGATCTGTTTCAGTAATTCCTTCTTCTCTCTGGTCAAGGTCTGGGAGGGGCTGAATGTGGTGAAGACTGGCCGAGTAATGCTTGGAGAAACCAATCCAGCAGATTCTAAGCCAGGCACCATTCGAGGGGACTTCTGCATTCAAGTTGGCAGGTGAGTCCTGGGCAGGGGACTGGTAGGGCTATTTGAATAAACTACATTTAAGTGGAGTCTAGAACATTTTGACAGCAAGAAGAGTGAGTGGCCAGAGTACCTCATATGCATGGGTGAAAGTATAACAATGAAAGCTGTTGAAACTTGAGGAAGAGGAGAGAGTTTGAGAGGTGACTTTGATTCCCATACCTTGTATTGTACAGAAATGTCATAGTGAGACAGCTGCGCAATAGATGTTAATGAAAACTTGCACAGAACATTTTTTGATTTTTTTTTTTTTTGGTGCCGGTTCTGGGACTTGAACTCAAGGCCTAAGCTTCTTTTGCTCAAACCTAGTGCTCCACCACTTGAGCCACAGGTCTACTTTGGCATTTGTGGCAGTTTAGTGGAGATAAAATTCTCAAGAGTTTTCTGCCCTGTTTGGTTTCGAACCATAAGCCTCAGATCTCAGTCTCCTGAACAGCTAGGATTATAGGCTTGAGACACCGGTGCCCGTTTCTAGAGAACATTTTGTATATTTCCTAATTTTAGAATAAGTTGAACGTTGATAATTAGCATTGCATAAAGGCCTTCATAAATAGCTACTTCCTAGGTTACTTAAAATTCTACCCAGGCCCTTGCCCAAGGGAGCCACATATGGCTGTTGTCATGTGATAGGGCAGAAGGTACCTAAGTATGGGGAGAGGATGGGTTCTAGCTTTGCCCACAACCTCTGCGGTGGTGGGTGGGGCTCTCCCCTCCCCCATGTCCAGGGGTTTGACATATAGCTCTTTGGTTCTCTCTCCAACATAGTCATATCAAAACACTTCATGGCATTCAAACAGAATAAAGGTTCACAATTCCTTTTAAAACACGTTGGCTGGGGCAAAGGTATGCCCAATTTCCTTCCTCTGCTAAATAACCCTTTAAATACACTTGGGCAAAAACAACAACAAAACCCCAAAACAAAAAAACAAAATACACTTGGGCACTTTAAAACATAGTAACTAGTAATTGTTCTGTTTCTCAGGAACATCATTCATGGCAGTGACTCAGTAAAAAGTGCTGAGAAGGAAATCAGCTTATGGTTTAAGCCTGAAGAATTGGTTGATTATAAGCCTTGTGCTCATGACTGGGTCTATGAGTAGAAGTGGACACAGCAGGGGTCCTGATCACCTTTAGCAAAACACCTGAGTCCCTGGACCCAGCTCTCCGTTTTACTGACAGAATGATACGATGGAACTTTTCTAAAGCATATTTACCAATAAAGCCTTTGGAACTAGGGGTACAGAGTCCTGTGCTGATTTGATGCTGAGAAGTGACTTTGTTTCCCTGGTTTAGTGGCATTACCCAAACAAACGAGTCCTATTTATTGTGGAGGAATTCTTTCTCCAAATATGCGTGTAGTTGAAGACATCAAGGAAAACTAATAGGGAGAAGGGCAAAGTATGGCCCTGGCTGTAAATGTTTAAGGATTTGTAGGAATTTGGTAAAGCGAGCATAGACATTAGTCAGGTGGTCTAGATTTACATTGGTGGAAATCTAAAGACAGGTAAAATGGGGATACCTACCATTGGTATGCATGATTTAAGAAACTATGCAGTTCACCTCTGGCTTGTCCATAGCTGGTACACAGGTGTTCCCACAATCATGTACTCTTTGTTACACTGGGGCATAACTCAGGGCTCTACCCCTTGAGCCGCAGCTATACTTCCAGCTTTTTAGTGGTTAACTGGAGATAAAGAGTCCCAGATTTATCTGCCTAGGACCTCAACTTCCTAGGATTATAGGTATAAGCCACTGATGCCTGGCTGCAACGAGATATTTAGCATACTGTTTCTTAGCAGTGGGTGGCCTAAAAATTTGAAGTAAAGGCCGGGTGCCTGTGGCGTATGCCTGCAATTCTCAGGAAGCTGAGATCTAAGGATCGTGGTTTGAAGCCAGCCTGGACAGAAATGTCCCTGTGAGATAATGTCCCTGAGATTACCCACTCAAAAACTGGAAATGGAGCTGTGGCTCCAAGTGGTAGAGTGCTAGACTTAAGCAAAGAGCTCAAGGACAGTGCCCAGGCCGAGTTCAAGCCCCACAACTGCCCCCCCCCCTCCAAAAGTTGGTTGGCACAGTTGTAAAGGCATCTGTATCACATTTTTTGTAGTCTGTTGTCATTTCCAAACCTCTGTAGACAGGGGCTGAAGTTGTCATCACTGTTTGTCAATGATGTGGTCATGCCAATGTCGTGGAGCCTGGAGAAGTGCCTACACTCTTGGTGGCATGCGTAGAAAAGACGAAGTTCTGTGGCCCCTTCCAGGTCTCCCCCTACGCATCTTTCCCATCTATCTCTATATTCTTCATTGTGAGGTGCTCCAGTGGATCAAATCCATTGAAGTACAAGCTGCCATCTGAGTCATGTGACAGGCACTTAAGAAGTGTACAGATTCCTCTGATGAATGAGGACACCAGCTGAATTGAGGAAGAACTGTTTAGTGTGGGGGAATGAAGCCTACAGAGCAGTGGGGGGTGCAGGTCTGGAGTCTTCGCTTGGGAGTACAGCCTCAGATTCCCAACAACCCCCAGTCCCTCGGTCTCCCACTGTCAGTTAGCTAAGTAACTTCATTATGCTTACTTCCTGCCCCCACCTTAAAAGTTTGGTCCTAGGGCTGGGAAGGTGGCTCAATGGTAGAGTGCTTGCCTTGCATGCCTGAGGCCCTGGGTTGGATTCCTCAGCACCACATAAGCAAAAAGAAAAAACCCGGAAGTGGCGCTGAGACTCAAGTGAAGAGTGCTAGCCCTGAGCTGAAGAGCTGAGGGATGGAGCCCAGGCCCGAAGTTCAGGCCCCATGACCGGACCCCCCCCAAAAATAAAAAAGTGTGGTCCTGTTGTGGGCTATAGCCCTGTCCCTCCCTGCCTGTTAATCCCGCACCCATCCACTCTAGTCCTTCCTGCTAACACATTCCCTTCATGCCCAGCACCTGGCTCTACCTCCTTGTGTCATATCACAGTCCCAAGCAGGAAGATATGGCCAGCATTCACAGGATACATGACTCTCTCCAACCCCCACCCCCAACACCAACAAATTAACTTGCTCAAACACACCTAACTTTAACATTTTATTTTGTGTAAAAAAGGGCAAATTTAGTGAATTATTTTCATCTTGTACACAAAGTTATAATTTTAATGCTTTTCACATCCATGCTGAGTTTGCAATTTGGTAAAAATGAAGGAAACATAAATTTCTCCAAAGGAATTTTTCACGCCATTATATACACTTCGTGAGAAAGTTTGAAATACTTTCTCAGTAATCATGTTACCAGAAAATAAAAGATTAAATTTGTACAGATATTGATCTATATATCAAATACATACAGAAATGATGTAAAAACCTTAATGCAGTTTACTTTGACCTCTGTCCTCAAAAGATTTGCCCAGGGACAGATGCTTTCTTTTGTATAAATGACTGTGGCTTTATTTAAAATATGAAAATCAAAGGAAGAAACCCAGTTTAATCACAGTATTTTTAAAATCCCTTCCCAATATTAAAGGATCATTACCAAATATATAGCACCATAATACAAATATTGATGGGAGGGGGAATTCACATCACGCAAAATTAATAATAATAAAAACAAACAAACACTGAAAAAACCCGTGTTAGTATCCGTAGAGTAAGAAGTTGATAACAGCTTTAGCTTTCCTCATACACAGCAAGGAAAAGGTTAAGAGTTTGAACTAACAAAGTTCCCAAGTAATCCGAACAGGAAAGAAAACAAAAACAAATAAAAAATACAAACTCAAGGTCAGCAGTACATTTGAACCGTAAGAGAATGGGACTACTGAGTTGTACGACTGGAGTTATGGCTACGACATAAATCTCCTCTGCAGTAACTTATTTCCTATTCATCATAAGCAGCAGGAGTGAGAATCTGAACAATGAAGAGGGCTCCGGGCTTCAGGCTGGGTTTAGACTATACAAGGTCCTTACCAAGCCTTAAACTGTTGGTCACTGGATCGAGATAAGAAACACTTAACAAGTGGCCCGGAGATTCTAGAACACTCAGAGCTTGGTTTGGCTGTAGAACTGAAGTTTATAAAACCCGGCTACAAACGAGCATTTCACAGAACTGTTGGTAGGACTGGTGGGCTCCCAACCACACCAATCCTGGGATATGCAGTTCCCTAGAGTCCCTACCTCCAAGGTACCGGCAGTTATACCCGACCTGTACCAAGGAACCAGAGTCCTGGGTCTAATCTGAGCCTGAGATTAAAGACTACTGTCACCTTTGCCTTGGACCTCTTCTAGGCTTTAAGCTCATAGGAAGATTCTTCAAAGTTAAAGATCTGGGAAGTGTGAGGATGTCACATTTACAGTACGTCCCTCTCAGTAATGCTGTTCAAGATAAATATCCAGTAATTTGATAGCTGAATTCACATATATTTGACACATGAGAATCAACCTGCGTTGATGTGATCTGCATTTATGCCCCCAGAGTCAGTATTAAGAAATGCTGACATGTGATTCCATACATTCTTACACTATAAAGTAACACAATTTACTTCCAGTAGCGACTACAAAACCTTATGTATGTTATTAACCCCTCTTGCATAGAATGAGGTAAACCTGTGCGTATTACCAATGCTATTATTCCCAAAAGTAGAGCAATATTTTAGAAAATTAAATTGCTGGTTTTTTTTTTTTTTTAATGTTTCTATGCATTTTAAAACTCAAAAATCTTACCTAAAATGGTCTCCTGGGGCTTTCCACTAACATTTTTTTTTTTTTTTAAAGCATTCCATAGGCTGAAGGACTGTAGAGGTTAATCATTTTGATTAATTTCTAATTAGCCCTGCCTGTTTTCCAGAGGAGATGGTCAGCATTACCACTCTGAAGAGGCCAGGCTAAGACCCCGAGCACTTCTAAAACAGATGCAATGAATTCCTGAGAGTTTATAGTTTATGAACCTTACTGGTAAACGCTAGTGCTCTCTCATTCAGTCACAACTCGGTAGGTTAGAAAATGCAGAGAGCAAACCTTTCATCAATTTACCCTTTTATCCTACTTTTAAAGGATGCCAAGTGAATTTTAAAATAGGGAATGTTCAAAATGGTCCAAATCAGTTATATTGTTAAAAGAAATTATGACAAAGACGATTCAAACTATATATATGGAATTTTAAGAAAATGAAATTCTCTTTCAAATTGGTTTTCTAACAAATCCAAGATAGTTAAAAGTGGAGCTGGAATGATTCTGAAATCTACATCTATTGGCTTTGATCACTTTAGAACGTGATTCTCCTGATAATGCAGACATTTTTTTTGGGGTGTGGCTGCACCAAGCTGCTATCTCCAGACAGAGGGAAATGGGCACAGTACCCATCAGAATCCCTCCTGTGGGGTTTGTTAGCAAGGAAAACAAAGGAAACTCAGGACAATATTGCATTTTCCCAACCCTTCAACATGTAGACTGATCCTGTATATCTTGTCAACCATTCCAGTTTAAGATTTTAGTGTTAGGATAATTTTACTCCTTTCCTACTTAAAAGAGAACATTGAAAGTATACAGAGTTCTTCCAGTTTCATGTAGAACTCCAAATACATTTTTGCAGAATGAAAAACTTCTGTACATTTAAAGTGGGCTGCAATAAAATGCTAATGAGCAGAGTAAATGGCCCCTTCTGTATGAACACGGGGAGGAGCCTCTGTGAGGGTTCAGATGCATATTTCTGCAGCGAAGGAAGCTGGAGATGTGACTGGCCTAACTTCTGAAATCCAAAAATCTCCCAACAGGTACCAAGAAGGTTCATTTGTAATGACAGTTCATTTGCATTTACAACTATCTCCTTCGAAAATCATTTCCTTCAATCCTGCTACCTAAACTTTAATCTTACCAAAAAAGTTAGAATTTCAGTTCTTGTTAACAATGCACATAAATCCAAACTTGGAAAATATTACAAAATTCTTTCAAAAGCTTCAAATACAACACAAAAATTGTCCATCTTTATAAATTGAAAAATTCCCCCCCCCCCCCACTAAAATAGTTTCCCCACCCACCTGAAAAATCTGGAACTGAAATTTTCTGTGTTTAGCAAAATGTCCCAGTAGAATAGCCCGCTGTACAGCTAGATTGATTATAAATCAGTCCTGTGTAAAATTTTCCCCCTCCCACCCTCAAGTTTCTGAGCCATCTCATTCATGGCTCTTGTTTGATGTAGAAGTTGGCAGAGCCATTGCTTTCCTGATCAGATGCTCCTTGGAGGAAGTTATAGTCCTCTCCATCTAGCAACTCCTCCTTCAGTTGCAGCGTAGTCACTGTGTGGGAGAGAAAATGTAAGGGATGTTACCAAACTCGGAGTATCCACATTGCCTTCAGTCTTCATGCTATCAACTCTACAGTTAGTAAGACTTCATTTCTTCGATAATTCTTAAGACAAAATCCTGCAGGGCCAGGGATGTAGCTCAGTGGTGGATTGCTGCCAAGCTTGCAGGAGCAAGTATGAACACTGAATTCTTTAAAAGTCTTTGCCATGCTGGGAACGAATGTAGAACCTTGGGGGTTTGCTAGGCAACAACTGCACTACTGGGCTACACTCCCAGCATTAATTTAAAATTTCAAACTATATTGGCTACTAAGGGATAATCTGAAAAGAAATAACACTGCACACCAGACAAGGTAAGAATGAGGAATTTTCTTGTGTTTCAGCATTCACTTTTAAGTCAGTGTCTATAGAAAGGATGCATTTCTTGGATGTTTCTGAAGCATAATAACAACACAAGAAATTTGGCTTTAATTTTATCATCCCCAAGGAGCACCAGTATTTTAATTTTTGTGGTGCTGGGGCTCAAACTCAAGAGCCTCACACACAGGAGGCAAAATGTTCTATCACTGAGATAGACGACCTCCAGCCAAGGGATATCTATTAAAAAGACTTCCTGGGTTGGCATGGTGGTACATGCCTGTAATGTCAGCCCTTGGAAGACTGACATAAACCAAGATCCTTCCTCAAAAACAAGACAAAACCAAAAATGAAAAAATACACAAACAAAAAGACTTCCTTCAGAAAAAGGTAAGAATCTCCTGTTTAAAAATCATAAATATAAATCTACTAAGTTACATTAAACTTATATACTTATAAAAATAAGCCTAATATTAAACTCATATTAAATTTGTAATTATAGAGAACCTGGGTAATTGTTTTAGTTAAAATACAAAACTAGCAGCTATGCATGGTGGTGAATACCTGTAAACCCATCCACTTGGGAAGCAGAGGCTGGAGGATTGTGCCAGTAGGGGCAAAGTCAGCAATACCATACCTCAGAAAGCAAAATACAGGGCTGGAAGTGTTAAATCATTTCCCTAGAAAGCTTAAAGCCCGGAGCTCAAACTCTGTTACTGGGGGAATAAAAAGAAAAGGCAGCAACAGGAAAATATAAACCAAAGGGCTGGGATGTGTGCCTCAAGTGAGAGCAGTACTGGGGGGGTGGGGGCTCACTGACAGCAGTGTGTAAAATTACTATGGTAAAATGGATGTTTCCAATATTAACAGTAGTGTCCACTGCTTGTCAGAGTTCTTATCTGACAACTTTATACTGAAAACAAATCAACAGTATAAGCAGTCCTCAATTTATGAATAGACTATGATCCAGTATGTCTTTATTTCAATGGAGAACTGTTTCCAATCTCTGGCGGCCACAGAATAAATGATGATCAGAACTCTTAGTTCTAAGGGCTTTATTATATAAGTAAGGGCCAAGAGAAAAGGAATTTTCTTTGATGAGCCCCAAATTGATCACAGGCCAAGTTTAACTTTGCGATTTTCCTATCTCCTTTTATGAGCCTCTCAATACAACTACCCAGTGCTCTACTGCTGACCTATACTTTTTAGTTCCCATTTCTTGATTTTAGTTGTAGAAAATGATTAAAAAAAAATAGCCTGTAGCCAGATGCCAGTGGCTCACACCTGTAGACCTCAGAATCTTGGTTTGAAGCCAGCTGTGGCAGGAAAGGCTGTGAGACTCTAATTAATCACCAACAGCCAGAAGTAGAGCTATGGCTCAAGTGACAGAGCACTAACTTTGAGCAAAAAAAAAAGCTCAGGGACAGCACCCAGGCCTTGAGTTTAAGCCTTAGGCCTGGCACCAAACAAAACAAAACACCCCCCCCCCCCCAAAAAAAAACAAAAACCAACACCACCAAACAAAAACAAAAACAAAAAAACAGGGTCAGGTGATGGTGGCTTACATCAATCCTAGCTACTCAGGAGAATGAGATCAAAGGACTGATGTCTAAAGCCAGCTGGCCTTATAGACATCAGGTAAATTAGAGAGACTGTTATCTCCGATTAACCAGCAAAAAGGCAGAAGTAGAGGTGTGGTTCAAGACACAAAGTGAGAGCACAAGGCCCTGAGTTCAAGCCCCAGTTTGGCATAAAAACAAACTAAAAAACAAAGCAATCCCCAAAAGGAATAATCTTTTGAGAGAAAACCATTTATTTTTGTTATTTTGATATTTGTTTTGGTATTGGTGAAGAAGAATCACCCAAAGACAGAAAAGTGAATACATCTGGTGTATAATAACAAAACACCAATCAAGTCAGTTAAAGTTTAGCAAGTAAAACTAGATTTCTTAAAAAAAAAAAAACAAACCAAAAATCTGCTTAATAAAAATGCTGTTACAGAGAACAATACCAAGTGTGTAATAGTTATCTTTCAAATCTAACCAACATGCATTAGGTGTTAGTGACATTTTAACAATACCATAAAAACAAGACACAAGGAACAGAAAATCCAGATTTCATTAAAGGTGCAGTACCCACAATAAAAGGTTGGTTAAAACAGTATCTTATTACATGATGATCAGATGGCTAAATGAATGGTAATTACTATGCTTCAAGATCAAACATGTTTTACTCATATGGATGTTTTTTTAAAATGTAGAAAGATAAGCTGAGTTTTATAACCCATCCTGGAGCTACATGCATTTTCAATATCAGAAATTAAATTCTCTGAATTAGGCTTCTAGTTATGTGAAAATATGGAAATGATGTGCTTAAAAGAATCACTGAAGATAAAGGTGAAACATTCACTCAGATGTGGAATGTTTTAATGCAATGTTCCATTGTTTCCATGGAGCCCAGAAGAAAGCCTGTCTGGTATGTTCATTCATACTAATCATTTCTCCTTTCCAGACCTTATTCTCAATGAATGATGGATGAGATAAATAGCTCCTGCACCTAATGGCACTTTCTGTAATACATTTTCTTAGCTCTGATTTTACAGAGGTCACTTTGTTGACAATAATCACTAACCTTTCAAAAGACAGATTAATGGGTATGACATTTTCGCAGCTACCAAGCTTTCAAATAATATACTCAACAGTTACTCAATGTGGCTTTCAGGTAATTAAGTAGTAATGCAGTCCCTACAGTGTCACCAGAAGAAAGCATCCCAACACGCCTCAAGATGTACCCTCAGCTCAGAAGACACTAGAGGAAAAGGGAAGTCGCATTGGAGTCACATGGTTTCCTTCCATCATGGGGTTTTGCAATCCCGGGAAGCCACGCAGTTTTCCACGAATCAGAATCTCACAAAACAAAACACGTGCCTCTAAAATTAAATCTGTTTAAAGACAATACACTGAAAATCCAGTAAAAATTCAAACATCAGAACTCACAATATCTATATTTAATTAGGTAAAGGAAGTCTATTTTATAAATAGCAAGTATAAGAAACCGGAATGCCTTTTAGATAGATTTTTGAAAGGTTTCCATTAATGAGCATGTAACTTTGGGTTTGTAATGATAATTTGTTTTTAGAAGGGCACAATTTCCTCTAGCATAAGGATATTAGAATGATCTTTAGAAAAACAGGACTTGTAAGAAGCAAGAAGGCTTCTCCATCTCTCACACTGTGAGAATACGTTTCAAGAGGGTCGACCCCTCCCTCCCAAAAAAACCCAAAGAGAAAAACTGATGGCTTTAAATGTAAAAATATTAATAAATAGAAGAAACTGAAGAAAACAGTTTCTAGGCACTAAGTCTTATAAAAAGATGTTTTAAAGAATGTTGTTCAGATTTAAACAATTAGTTTAAGAGCAAGTTAAGCAAGTTACATGACAGATACAACTTTGGCTTTGAAGTGAGAGGACCTGGACTCCTGTCTACAGTTCACCCTGTGAAAGTGCAGCCTTCCTGACAATGCTGCCACCTTTTTCTTAGCAATTACAAAGGGCAAAATCCTTCTGCTGTCTTGCAATCTAGCTCCCTGGCCTAATGAATTAAAACTCAAACTAAATGTCATGTACCTAGTTTAATCACTACACATACAGGAACATGAAATTAATGGAAATACATTTCACTCAAATTCAACACCAAGATCACACAGGCACTGATTGCATTCCTTTATATATGAAAGTCACCCCAGATCAAGGTAATGTTACTACCAAACCTCAAAGTTCTCTAGAACTCAAAACACAGCTCCTTTTATGAATGAGATGTTATGGAATGTTATGAAGAAAGCCTTACTTTGGTCTGATCAAGCAGACAGATCCCTCACAAGAATTGTGAAATGTAAAATATTTAACCATTTCAATGCAAGCATGAAACAGAAGTTGTTTCACAATTCCATAAAGTGAAATGGTAATTGCACCCTAAGTTGAATTGAAGCTCAACAAAAAGTCCTTTCCTGAGATGGCATGTCTTAGTGAAGTGACTATCAAGGAGCAGTGAGAATGAATATTTTTAAGTAAAAGAAAATAAAAACTTCAATGAGTCAGCGCACCTGTCATGCCAGACCATGCTTTGTCTCCCACCACCCTGCCCAGCACGTTGCCCTCTGAAGCACCTGAGGTGCTGCATGACTAGTTACCTGTTTTGAGGCTGGGCCTGAACTCTCGGCTAGTGCTGGGAGGTGGGAAGGCCTCAGGGGCTGTCTGTGCTGGCAGGGTTCCATATGGAGGAGGAGTCAACTCTTCGTCACCAGAGAAGCTCCTCCGCACCCCGCTCGACAAACTGACAGGCTTCTTCCCAACTGGCATCTTCCTCTCTAAACATCAAGTCAGACTAAAGTAAGCTTTGACTTTTCTGCGTGGTAAGAAAAGTGCATTTTGTATAACTAGGAAAGCTGGTTGCATAGGACAGATACTCTTTGGCAGAGAGAACTGACCACACCAGACTATGTCTGAAAACAAGGGTGTGTGTGTGTAGTGAGACTGTTTCTACTTTCTCAGACAGCCCTGATGTTGTTTCTACTTTCTCAGACAGCCCTGATGTCTCTCAAATAAATTTCAAACAAAGTAAAATGAACTACAGAGCATTTAGTATGAAGAATAGCTGGCTAATTTCTTTCAGGAGAATTTCAGCTTGAGATAGGATAAAAAGCCAGTGGAAGACCAAGAAGGTGTTTTAATTATCTTCTTCAGTTCTAGGGACCAGTAGGGCTTTGTAAAGCATGCTAGCATGCATGCATGTAAAGCATGCATATCTTGAGAGGTCTTTTTGTGTGTGTGTGTGTGTGTGTGCTGGTCCTAGGATCTGGGCACTGTCCCTAAGATTCTTTTGCTCAAGGCTAGAACTCTACCACTTGAGGCATAGTGCTACTTTTGGCTTTTCTTTAGTTGATAAAAGTCTCCCAGACTTTCCTGCCTGGGTTAGCTTTGAACTGTGATCCTCAGATCTCAGCCTCCTGAAAATAGCTAGGATTTGGCACCCAATTTAAAGTACTCCATTCCATTGCTTAAACACTGGCCTTCAGGGAGAAATCACACTTAGTCAAGGTTCAGACTTATCAACTGTGCAGCAGGAAAGTATTGATTAAAAGTCGTAACTTTTAGTTAGCAATGTATCTTTTCAGTAAGTACTTTTCTTTTTTTGGTTGGTTATGGGACTTGAACTGTGGGCTTGGGCGCTGTCCCTGTGCTCTTCAGCTCAAGGCTAGCGCTCTACCACTTGAGCCACAGCACCACTTCCAGTTTTCTGAGTGGTTTATTGGAGATAAGAGTCTCACAGACTTTCCTGCCTGGGCTGGCTTTGAACCGCGATCCTCAGATCTCAGCCTCCTGAGTAGTTAGAGCCACCGGCGTCTGGCAGTACTTTTAATTCTTATACAAAGCTTACGACTTTTGCTTCTAAGTCTGTAACCTAAGTTCTTTTGAAATCAATTCATCACATCCTTTGGTTTCAGGCTCATAAAAAACCATAAGCCTTTGATGACTTTACACAAAATGTTTTCACCAGCCTAAGATATAGTTTGAACTTTGAAAATACTAAACTACCCATCAAGTACAGTGAACTAAATAGGTTGTAAGCCGATTAATATGAATGTGTACATATAATTGCAACTGTAAGTTAAGTCTCTTTTTCTCCAAAGTATATAACAGCACAGATAAAAAACATTTCAGTTTCAGAAAATCAGAACTAAAGATAATCTAAGACAGCAGTACTCCTATATAAAATAATCTGGAAGCTAAATTACTAGCAGGTACACACTCAACTCTCAATTGCCAAAATAAAACCATGTGCAGTGACTACTTAAGACTCTTTCCAGCATAATATACCCTGTAGGGGTAAAAAGAGAAATCTCCAACTCACAGTAGCCTCTGAATATGGTAAAACTTAAAATGGAAATTACTGTTGCTTTTTCTGCTCCACAATTACTTGACAGAAAGAGGCTTTTGAGATCAGTCTAGCTAACAACTCTCCCTTTATGGCACAAACTCAGCTCATTAATCACCAACCTAGGTAACAAATTGAGTATCTGTCTCTACAAAAAGGATAACACCACCAAACAACATTCTGATGAACTTTAAGTAGAAAAAGACTAAAGAGCTATAAGATGAAACAATAAAGGCAGAAAAAAAAATTATATCAGCAAACTCAAAGACAAATGCAAGGTGTGTAGTCCATCCGCTGCTACCTGTGTGCTGTGGTGCTGGCTTGGGGTTTGAAACCCTAAGTTCTGTTATCTTTGGAACTGAAGTTTTGTGGGAAAATTTTCTAGTAAGCTACATTTTTAAGAAAAAAAGACAAAAAACCCAACCCCCCCACAAACCAAAAATGAATAGCACCTTACAATGAAAACATCTGCTTAACACTTCAATTCTAACATTCAGGAAAGTTTTTGGTAAAGTTTTGTCAACAAAACCATAGTTACTTGGTGACATATTTATAATATTTACTTGGCCTATTTTATGTATTTACATTTTGCTTCAGAAAATGCTCCAGAATCTGCAATGGATATTATGCAGTATACTCTACATACATTGTTTCTTTTCTAAAATCCACGCCAGGTGCTGGTGGCTCACACCTGTAATCCTAGCTACTCAGGAGGATGAGATCTGAGGATCTCAGTTTGAAGCCAGCCTATGTAAGAAAGTCCCTGACACTCTTATATCCAAATAACCCCCCAAAAGCTAGAAGTGAAGCTGTGGTTCAAGTGGTAGAACACTATTCTTGAGCAAAAAAAGTTCAGGGACAGTGTCCAGGCCAGAGTTCAAGCTGCAAAACTGGCCCAACAACAACAACAACAAAAATTCCAAAAGTTTCTGAATTCTGAAACACATGGCCCCAGGGGTTTCTAGTAAGTATTGTGGGTTTGTATTTCTAAGTCCCAAGAAAAACTTAAAGGCATTAGAGATGATATCTTTAATACTAAAAGCTATCAAAGTATCAGCTAAGAAATATATTTTAGGGTGGGGAATGTGGCTTAGTGATAGAGTGCTTGCCTAGCATGCATGAAGCCCTGGGCTTGACTCCTCAGTACCACATACACAGAAAAAAGCCAAAGTAGTGCTGTGGCTCAAATGATAAGAGTGTTAGCCTTGAGCAAAAGAAGCTCAGAGACAGTGCCCATGCCCTGAGTTCAAGCCCCAGGACAGACAAACAAACAAACAAAAAATATATTCTATGTATAGCCATTTTACTCAGCGCATCTAGAAATATGATAAATATTACTAAAAATGGACATTCTCATTCTTAATTTTTATCTTGTGATATTGACATCTTACTTGATCAACTACATATTTCTTTCCATTCCCCTAACCCATTAGCTCAAAATAATTTAAAACCTGTAAGTCACAATGAACCCTGTAAGTTACAGTGAAGAAAGTTTGTGAACTGTGCACTCCACCCATCAATCAATAAAGGCGATTCTTCATAAGCCACTAAGTACAAATACATCCTTAATTCCATGTCCTAGAAACCAAATTCTGAAATCTCAGTCTTGTCCAACAGAAAGTGAGAAAAGGGGTTAAACCAGCCTGTTGATCTATTTTACAGAAAGCCTAGAGCTCATACCTGCTATGGTTCATCTTCAGACATGAAATTGCAATGGGAACTTATCCTAAGCTCATTCGGCTGAGTGCAGCCTCATCCATCTGATCTGGTAATATTCTCAACCTCTTTTTGATGAATACCAGTCCTTCCCTTCCCAGTAGCAGGTGGGGAAAAATTAATTCTGAGAGTGTGTTTGTGTAAGTTCTGCCCATAGAAGGCAAGGCAGGCGACAGCCTTTCTGTGTACTTGCGATGTCACTAGTGTGAGTGAGGCTGGCTAGGGCTTCATGCTGAGAGTGAGCCATGTTTTCAAAGCACCACTACTAGTCGAGTTTAAGGAGGCTTAAAAAGCTCATCAGGAAGGTAAGAATAGAATTTACTTAATTTTTCTACCAGTCATCCTTCGGTTAATGAGCTAGATTTTTACTTATTTGAACATATGCAAGTCAGTTGGAAGTCTTTCAGTTTTAATACTGAAGTATGTTTTACTATTAAAAAATCTTCAATTAAAAACAAACATCTCAGAGTGAAATATTCTATGATGAGTTCCATAAGCAAACCTGTGGCTTTCTATGATAAAGACATACTTGAAAATCATCAAATATAGTTATCATATTTTATATTACTGTGGCTAATAAATGCCAATAACTGATTACTATAAGGTAAAATACAGTATAGATAGCATATATGGAATAATTTGGAAATCGGTCCACCTGAATTTCTTACAAGAATCATTCTAGAAAGAACTTTGTAGAAAGAATGGTTTATTAGGCTCCAAATCTGTGTAAGCACCAAGTATCTGCTTTTTTAAAGTTTTATAAAATAGAAAGTAAAAAAATCTCCCAAAATCCCCAAAACAAAAACCATTGACTTTCTCAAGCTTTACATATTACTGCAAGAATCATTCGCAGGCTCTATTTTTTACTATGTATACTTGAAATTCCATGATATCATTGCTCCTGTTAATTGTTTCTTATTAGTGGAAGGTTTGCCTTTTATGGCATACTGCACCTTTAAGCATAATACATAATAAACAAGCATCAGCTCTCACAGGGATAGAATTTTCTGTGGAAGACCACTGTGACCCCAATTGGTTAACAATTAGAAAATGTATGTAAACACCACGTGGTGACCCACTTTTCTTATGTCCTTTGTATTGCTGGGACTTAGCTTTTTTCTTCTGTTTTGATGAAGCTGATTGGCTTTCTCTTGATGCTGAAAAATAAAAGGAAAAGTTGGTACCACACATTTGCTTACTACTGAAGATTATGCTTATCAGAGTACATGATACTTTGAAAATAAGGATACATTTGTTCCTATAAAACCATAAAGCTGAGGGGCTGGGAAAGTGACTCAGTGGTAAAGCACTTGCCTTGCATGCATGAGGCCCTGGGTTCGATTCCCCAGCACCACATAAGCAAAAAGAAAAAAAGCTGGAAGTGGCGCTGTGGTTCAAGTGGTAGAGAGCTAGCCTTGAGCTGAAGAGCTGAGGGACAGTGCCCAGGCCGAGTTCAGGCCCTATGAACGGACCCCCACCCCCCCCCAAAAATAAAAACAAAAACATAAAGCTGAATACAGTATGAGACAGATTTCATTGTGTACTCAACATTATTTACTATACACCAATATATTTTTAGCTGGTAATTATAGTAAGTCTAGTTTTACTTGGTGACAGCAGTGTTGCTACAACCACTATATAACTTACTATTGAGTTAGCATTGCCACGTACATATGGTCTGATTTTGTGATTCTTAGTGTCTTACCTGTCAATCAGTCAGACATAGGTATATTCCTGTTCTGTGAGTTACCACGATGATTTATGTAAGATAGTCCTCTATAGAGAATTTTTGATTTTTACAAAAGGGAACCTTTTCTGAATACAAACTTACACTGTGATGCTGGAGGCTGTAGCTGATATCCAGTTAACTGACACCACCCTACAGGATAGAGGTCAGGGGACTCACAGTCTACCCACTGGTCATACTCTTCTTCCCATCCATCAAAATGTATTCTCAAGAGACGATGAATAATTCGAGTAACTGTGGCTACACATATTAAACGTGGCTCCATGAGATCCACAGCTTCTAACTTCATGCCTACACGAAATCCGTGATTTGGAACATCCTGACACAGAGAAGCAAGAAATTAACACCAGTGTATGCAAGAATGCACAAATATACTAAGAAAAGCAATGTAGCCAAATACAATATAAACCCCAAAGACCCCAGTAATTCTTGAATTATGCAAAAAAAAGACTCCATATATTCTTTTATTGCCAAATATTTGCTTACAAGGCAAAGACATTTGGATAAACTATAATATACATCTATCATTTATGTTATGACAGTTAGGTTACCCTTTACATTTACCTTATTAAATAGTTTTACTGGTGCTGCAATGGAGCCAGTCTCCCTGAGGTAGTCAAACCATTTAAAAGGAAGTTTTGTGTAACCTAAAAAACAGTATCAGTGTAAGTAATAGTTTATGTAAAGTTAACATAATACTAAAGTGCAAATTAAAAAGGTTAATCACCTAGAGCCCCATCATACGTTAGGCTCAATTTTTTTTTTTTTTTTTGGTTGGTCATGGGGCTTGAACTCTGGGCCTGGGCTCTGTTGCTCACTCTTCAGCTCAAGGCTAGCGCTCCACCACTTGAGCTACAGTGCCACTTCCAGTTTTCTGGTGGTTTATTGAAGATAAGAGTTTCATGGACTTTTCTGTCTGGGCTGGCTTTGAACCTCGATCCTCAGATCTCAGCCTCCTGAGTAGCTAGGATTATAGGCATGAGCCACCGGTAGGTTGAATTTTTTTTAATGAACTTTAATTATGTTCTAATACTGCTGAGCGCACTGGTTACTCCATTATATTCATTCTCCTTTTCTAGACACATACTCTATGCAAAAGTGGCTCTCCTCTATTCTTACTATAAAAAGGGTAGACTTGCTTTTGTGGTACTGAGGATCAAACCCAGTACCTTGTGCTTGCTATGAGTTTTACCACTGAGCCACCTCAGCCGAAGACTCACTTTTTAATTCTTTGTTTTACGACAACCTAGCACATAATAGGCTACATTCATAGTTTTTCTTCTTCTTTTTTTATATTTGGGAAAGAAAACTAGATGAGTAAATATTTTAATAAAACTTGTTTTGTTTTACTATCATTCCACCTTAAGAAAAATCTTTGACTAAGACACTGAACTTAGAAAAACCACTAGTTAGGCCATGAGAATTGCTTCAAGTATGCAAAAAAAAAAAAAAAAAAAAAAGCTTCTTAAAAAGCCACCACATCTAGGAAGGTAAGTTCTTTCCCTCAAAATCTAAGTATCAATAAAAGAGATCCCTGAGACCCCTGCAGTCTCCCTGAATATTGCACAGATGCTCAGAAAAAAAATTCCACACTAATAAAGCTTACTAAAGCTAGGTAGGTACAGTATTTGGTGTTTTCATAGCAATCTAGATTTGGTATGTTTAATCTGCATATACATACATGTTCCATAAACCCACAGAAAAAGAAAATGTCAGGCTGTGTTAAATGTAAAGAGACACCATGTAAGAAGATAGCAAGGGTAAGGCTCAGTGTTTACACCGGATGTACCTCTTGGTGGAGTAAGTTCAATCATATTAATTTCACAGAAACCAACAGGGAAAATAGAAGGAGAGGTTGCATGGTAACAGAACCAGTCAGATCCATCTGCTGCTTCTGAGCCATCGATCCCGATCATCAGGAATCCATCAGCCAGCACCTTTTAAATTAAGAGAATCCAAGTACTTGAAATTAGATTCCATTATTAGAAAAAAGCCTGGATACTTCATGAGAAATGCTTCTCCTTCTCATTTTTTTGTTTTTAATGCTGGTCCCTGGGCTTGAGCACAGGGGTTGGGTGCTGTCCCTGACCTTTTGTGCTCAAGGCCAGCACTGTACCACATGAGCCACAGCTCCACTTCCAGACTTTTGGGTGGTTAATTGGAGATAAAGAGTCTAATTGGAGATAAGAGTCTCATAGACTTTCCTGCCTAGGCTGGCTTTGAGTCTAGAATCCTCAGATCTCAGTGTCCTGAACTAGGATTACAGGTGTGAGCCACTAGTGCCTGGTAGAGAAATGCGTTTTTATTGAATAATGTTCAAGGATAGAAGCTAAGCTATATAGCCAGGTATCAGTGGTTCATGCCTGCAATCTTAGCTACTCAGGAGGCTGAGATCTGAGGATCATGGTTCAAAGCCAGCCCGGGCAGGAAAGTCCGTGAGACTCTTATCTCCAATTAAACACCAGAAAACTAGAAGTGGCACTGTGGCTCAAGTGGTAGAGTGCTAGCCTTGAGCTGAAGAGCTGAGGGATAGCACTCAGGCCTAGAGTTCAAGCCGCACGACTGACAAAAAAAAGAATAGAAGCTATACTAAAAACCCATGTAAACTGTAGTGTATACAAAAAACAAGCCAAGATTCAACAGCAATATCTCAAGAGATCTGAGCATATCTGTGTCTGTTAAAGACTGAAGCTAAGTCTTAACTCAGTTCATACCTTTCTTTCTTTCTTTCCTTCTGATGGAGCATTATCATTTTCCCAAGCCTTTTTTTTTTTTTTTTGACAGCCATGTGGTTTGAACTCTGGGCCTGAGCTCTTCAGCTCAAATCTAGCGATCTACCACTTGAGCCACAGCACCACTTCCAGTTTTTTTCTGTTCATGTGGTAGTGAGGAATAGAACCCAGGGCTTCATGTATGCTAAGCAAGCACTCTACCACTGAGCCACACTCTCTACCCTTTCCCAAGCTTTTGAGCTTTCAACTTGATCTTTGTATTTTTGGGGGTTGTGTGTATGCTAGGCATGGAGTCTTGAACAGAGGTACCTGTACTCTCATTTGGATTTTTTCACTCAAGGCTGGTGCTCTACCACTTGACTCACATTTCCACTTTGGTATTTTGCTAGTGAGATAAGAATCTCACACAGGTTTATCTGCTCAGGCTGGCTTTGAATCTAGATATTCAGCTTTCAGCCTCTTCTGTAGCTTGGATTACAGGCAGGAACCACTGGTGCCTGACACATCTTACTTTTGTTTCAAGACTGTAAACTTTTTTCATTATTAATAGTATTATGTTTGTGATACTGAAGACTGAATTTAGGACCTTATGACTGTAAGGTGCTAGTGGGCTTAAGGCACCCCACCAGCCCAAGACTACAAACTTTTTTTTGTTGGTTGTAGGGCTTGAAGTCAGGTCCTGGGTGCTGTCCCTAAGCTTTTTTGTGCTCAAGGCTAGCACTCTACCACTTGAGCCACAATGTGACTTCAGTTTTTCAGTGGTTACTTTGAGATGAGAGTCTCACAGTGACTATTCTGCCTGGGCTGGCTTTGAACTGTGATCCTCAGATCTCAGCCTTCTGAGTAGCTAGGATTTACAGGTGTGAGCCACCAATGCCTGGCTACAAACTTTTTAAAGTTCAAAACAAAAGTAGTTATGATCATAATTTCTTCTCTGACACCTGATATGCTGCTCACTGGGACATCATTTCATTTTCATTTCTCCAGAGCAGATTATGTTCTGATGGCATTACTTCCCAACTACCTGGAGAATTTTTTTTGGTAGGTTGTGGGTCTTGAACTTAGGGCCTGTGTGCTGTCCCTGAGCTTTTATGCTCAAGGCTAGTGCTCTTAACACTTTGAGCAACAGCTATACTTCTGGTTTTTGAATGGTTAATTGGAGGTAAAAGTCTCATGGGAACTTTCCTGCCTGGGCTGACTTTGAATTGAGATCCACAGAACTCAGCCTCCGGAGTAGCTAGGATTGTAGGCTTGAGCCACCCGTGCCCATCCACTTGGAGAATTTTTTGCTTTTACTTTCTTTTTTTGTTTTTTTAAAGGCAAGTACAGATTTCTGGATATTTCTTGTGATTCTAATTACACAGGTCTACAGTAGGACATGAAAATGTGTATTTTAAACCTTATCAGGTGGTTTCTGTGGGGTAAACAGGAAGGAACAGGATTTGGAGTCAGTCCTGTCTACCTGTGTTGCCATGAATACAGGCACACAGGACATGCATTTATTGTAACTCAATTCTTTTGGCTTCAGCTCTAAGTTGTGCTGTAATTCAAATATCAAGTTATACTGTTACACAAGTAGATTCTGAACCAGTGTTTTTTTTCCCCTTCTTGTTTTATATTTTTCTGTGACCAGACTGCTGATTATCTTGCCTTGGTCTTCATGTGTACCCATAGGCTTTTTTTTTTTTTTGCTTTAACTTTTTGAAAGAGTCTTATGTTTATGCCCTGGGCTGGCCTAAGAATTGAACTCAGGGCCTGGGCGCTGTTCCTGAGATTCTTTTGTTCAATGCTAATGCTCTACCACTAGAGCCACAGTGCCACTTCCAGTGGCCTGACTGTGGTATCCCACCAATGGTCTTCTGTGAAGCTAGGATTATAGGTGCCACTACCAGGCCTGGTTTGTGATTGAAATGGGTGGGCCTTGCTAATTTTTTACCTAGGCTGGTTTCAAATTACAATCCTTTTGATCTCTGCCTTTTGAGTTTTACAGGAACATACCACTATGCCTGGCCTTGGACTATTGGTTCTTTTTTTAATTTTTAAAATTTTATTGTAAAGGTGATATAATGAGGGGTTACAATTACATAAGTCAGGTAGTGATTACATTTCCTTTTGAATTACTGATTCTTAACCATCACTGTCCATGAAAATGACCTGCCTAGGAGTTAGGAGGTGAGGAGGGAAGGGATGCTAGGGGAAAAACAAAAGAGGGGGTAACAATGCTCAACAGGAAATGGACTCATTACCTTGCTCATGTAACTGTAACCCTTCTGTACAGTATCTTTACAATAAAAAATATATATTAAAAAAAAATGACCTGCCTTTAAAAAAATGCCAGTGCTTAAGTTCAAACCTAGACTGATTAAATTAGAATAAAGGGTAAGAGGATTAGCTAGCTACCTGTACTTTTCAAAGTTCCCTAAGGAATCCTGATTCTAAGAACTGAGAACCCTTCATATGAAAAGGAGAAGAAAAAAGAAGAAATAAAGTTCTACCAAGAACAAAAATCATAAAAAGGAAAATGAAGATAAACTTGTCTTGTTACAATTCTGTACTGGGGTATGTTTGGCCAGAAGTAGTTTAAATCAAGATTCTTTCTCCTCAGGATATTTTTCAGCAAATAAAGGTTGCAGATCCAAATGACTTTTTTTTTTTTTTTTTTTGGGTCCGGTCGTGGGGCCTGAACTCTGGGCCTGGGCACTGTCCCTCAGCTTTTCAGCTCAAGGCTAGCGCTCTACCACTTGAGCCACAGCGCCACTTCTGGCTTTTTTTTCTTTTTGCTTATGTGGTGCTGAGGAATCGAACCCAGGGCCTCAGGCATGCAAGGCAAGCGCTCTACCACTGAGCCACCTTCCCAGCCCCCCAAATGACTATCTTGACATGTCATATAAAAAATATCTGTCTTTGTCTGCCAAGAGTCCAGGCTATTTTTTTTTTTTTTTCTTTTTATTAAACTCGGGGCTGGGAAGGTGGCTCAGTGATAAGAGTGCTTGCTTTGCATGCATGAGGCCCTGGGTTCAATTCCTCAGCACTACATAAGCAGAAAAAGCTAGAAATGGCACTGTGGCTCAAGTGGTAGAACACTAGTCTTGAGGTGAAGAGCTGAGGGACAGTTCCCAGGGCCCCCCAAAACCCAAAAAAACCTCTCTGGATTTCTTGCTCATGGCATGTGCTCTATCACTGGAACCATGCCTCCAAGCCTGGCTTTTGCTAGTAAATAAGAGTTAAAAGTCTAATGCTTTTGTCTGATGGGCTATGAACTTCAGTCCTCCCAAGTCTCAGTTTCCTGAGTTGCTAGGATTATAGGAGTGAGCCACTGGTCTGGCTCCCTTGATCCTTCTTCAAAGAGCCTCAGGAAGTAGTTATTTTGCATCAAATGCTTTAATTTCCCTAATATCATTAGAAAAGGCTTCTAGTTATTGTAGTATATTTGAGAAATAGTGATAGCCACAGTAGTGACTAGTTGGATGCTGTTTATTATTAGTGTCTTCAAAATGTCTTTCTGGACCAAGCTATCTCCGACAGTTACATGGCAGTTTGAGATATCAAAGTATGAACAATTTCTTCAGGGATTTTTTTTTTTTTTTGTACTTAATATAGCCAGGTGCTGGTGGCTCATGCCTGTAATCCTAGCTACTCAGGAAGCTGAGATCTGAGGATTGTAGTTTGCAGCCAGCCCAGGCAGGAAAGTCTATGAAACTCTTATCTCCAATAAATTCCTCAAAAAAGCTGGAAGTGGCACTGTGGTATAAGTGGTAGAGTGCTTTCCTTGAGCAAAAGAAGCTTAGAGATAGTACCCAGGCCCTGAGTTCAAGCCCCAGGACCAGCCAAAAAAAAAAAAAAATAGTAAAAACACTTAGTGCCTGTAATACCTCTGCTTTCCCCAAGAGATCTGAAACTTGTAGTAACTTTCCCCCTCTGGAAGAGTCACACTTTCTTTGTTACAATGAACGCTGTATGCAACTCATTCTATTTATTAAAAATAATTCTGTAATTTTACTTGCTTATTAAAATTCCTACAAATTTGATTTCTATATTTTAATACATATTCTCTTACCTTTCTAATGGTTGCGACACATATTGTAGAAAGATTTAATGGGTCTATAGCTTCTAATTTCATTCCTTCCTTGAACCATTCTCCACTCTGGTCTACTTCTTTTACCTAAAGAATTATATGAAAGCACATGTACTGTTATAAATGTTGTGATTTTAGTAATCAAACTTTTACCAACTTGAAATGTCTACTGATGCCTATTCCTACCTACCTAATACTGAAACTCAAACTTCTATTAGAGAATAAAGGATCAAATAATTAAAAAGTAATTATAATAGATCAATGACAGCTATGAATTATAAGGTCTTAATCCTTTATAGTAAACATATGCAATTGTGATTTCTATCATTTTAGGAACAAACCCACAACCCTCTTTCAAACTTAATTTATACATGAGGGTTCTTATAAAAACTTCTTACCTTAGCAAATAAATGTGGTGGTGTATCAAAATGTCCATCCTGTTTCTTTGTAATATCTACAAGGAAAAGTTACATACTAATCTGTCAGCATTTGTGAGAAGACCAAAAACCACATTTCTTTGAAGGCTTCAAACTCACAAGGAATCTAATGCTTTAACATGGCAAAAAGACATGCCTTTTATATATATGTTGAATAAATAGCACTGGTTGACATGTGCATATGCTATTAGATATACACCAGCTATTCATAATGCTGAGAATTCTACAATTGGTAATTACCAGTATAGAAGTATGTTTTAATCTGTCTAATATCAAGTCTAGCCACACTTAATCTTTCCATTTTGATTAAGTGGAAACTTATCTCTGTGTCTTGCAAATGGACTGGATAAGAAAATGAAGACAATTGCTATTTGACTAAAATCATTGCTATTATTACTTTGTGGTGCTAGAGACCAAACACAGGGCCTCCCACATAAAAGTGCCTTATTCTTAAATTGAGGCAAGAGTCGGGAACATGAAGGAACACTAAAAGGACTAATATGGTATGAACTTTTTCTAATTAAAATAGAATAAGCAGCCTGAACAACTCAAATGTTATTTTTGGTCTATGCTTTTCTGCTGAGAAAAATAACCAAGTAGTAAAGTTCATCCTCTTGGATACTTTCAATAGGAAGTTTGTGGTAGCTGCTTACCAGATCTTTTGAAACGATGACCTATGCTTCGAGACCAACCGATGTGATGGATTAAGGGGCTGTGCATATGGCACCAGAAGTCGTCCGTCCTGTCTTCACTCTCTTCATATACTAGCCTCAGTCTACCTCCAATTACACTCTCCACCACTGCTACCCGCGTTCGACATAAATGCCTCTTGTCAACCACTTCTACTCTCATGCAAGGTTTGAAAGGATACTGCATACTCTCTGAGACCTTCAAATTCAAGCAGACAAAACCTGTTTGAAATTCATGACAGGATTTTTCAAATAATTTTAACACTATACTGTCAAAAATATTTTAACATAGATTATTCAGTTTATGAAATTACAGTTCCTTAAGCGCTCTTCAATCCTTTTTTTTTTTTTCCAATCCTTTATAAACAAGATCCTGCTTTTACCTTTTGTGAGAAATCTGGAGGAAGTGTTTTGGCACCAGTAAGTCTTTTTACAAGAAAAGCTTTCCAGTTTGTATACTTATGTTGAATAGCTAAAATAAAAGAAAATAACCAATTATGCTTTAGCAGAAAGTAGAAGTATTTAATAAATTATCTGTTAAAATATTAATGTCTATATTACCTTAAGGTTATTATGTGTGAGATATGTTTCGAGTCACTGTAGGGGTGAATAAGCCACTTACTTCTAGGAGGAACAAGAGGTTTTCCACTGGCTGCACACCAACCAACTGGATGGATATCAGAACCACATATATTGCACCAGAAGTCTAGACCAGAATCATTTTCAAATCCTTCATATCTTAAAAGGGCATTGTAACCTAAAACCAACAAATCAATCACTAAATAAGAAAACAGAAAAACAAAGAAGTAGTAGTGGTTGTCAATCTTTACTGTCCTCTGCAGAACCACCTGCAGAGCTTGTTAGTTACAGAGAGTGGCCCCATTCTAGATTTTACACTCACATCAAGTCCCCGTGGACCAAACATTTTTTTTTTTTTTAAAATTATTTCAGTCTTGGGGCTTGAACTCAGGATCTCCGTGCTGTCCCTGAGCTTTTTTTTTTTTTTTTGCCAGTCCTGGGCTTGAACTCTGGGCCTGGGTGCTGTCCCTCAGCTCTTCAGCTCAAGGTGAGCACTCTACCACTTGAGCCACAGCGCCACTTCCGGCTTTTTCTGCTTATGTGGTGCTGAGGAATTGAACCCAGGGCCTCATGCATGCAAGGCAAGCACTCTACCACTGGGCCACCTTCCCAGCCCCTCCCTGAGCTTTTTTTGTGCTCAAGGCTTAGGGCTCTAGCACTTGAGCCACAGCTCTACTTCTGGCTGTTTTTGATGGTTGATAGGACATAAAAATCTCCTGGACTTTTCTGCCTGGCCTGGCCTTGAACTACAATTCCCAGATCTCAGCCTCCTGAGTAGCTAGAAATACAAGTATAAGCCACTAGTTCCCGGAATATGGACCAAACTTTGAGAAACACTGTTCAGTTCAATTAGTTCAAATGTTTTTTGAGCATGGCTTCTCCTTTGAATGCATTCCAATTTTATCCACAATTTTAGGCTCAGCTTTTTTACTCATGGCTGGTGCTCTACCACTTGAGCCACATCTCTATTTGCAGTTTTTTTTTTTTTTTTTCTGATTAACTGGAGATGAGAGTCTCTTAGATTTCTTTGCAAGGACGAGTTTAGGATTAGGATTAGAATCCTTAGAGCTCAGCCTCCTGAGTAGCTAGAATGTAACATTGGTGCCCAGTGCAACAGAAGGTTTTGGTATTAGTACAATCCCGTATGTGACAGAAACCTAGTTTAAATATATTACAAAGAAATCATCTTATCCAGCTGATTAGATAGCCAATTATAATCTGGATATGGCTACTTTGAGAATCTAAGTTTTTCGTATTTGTAGATCAGATTGAAAAATGCTAAGTAAAAGTTCAATGAATACAAATATACATATTTGACAGCACTTAATGTCCTAGGTAAATAGGGGGCTTTTATTTCCTAGGGAAAACAAAAAGTATATATTTTGTTTATAATTTAACAAATCTTAAGTAAAAAAGCGCAAAAACAAAACAGTACTGGGGATTAAACTTTGAGCCTCATGGTGGTAGGTAAGCTAGTGCTTTACCATTTGAGTGAGCCATGCCTCCAGTCCCAGTTTAGGTTTAATATAAGGCCTTTAGTGGAATAAAACAAGGGCCAATAAATGAATTTCAGGCAAGGCACCAAGTTCAGTTATTAGCATTTTCTTGCATTAACGTTTATGATTAAACTTTATAGTATTAAATCTTTAGTTTTAAAATTTGTAGAACTTATTGGTTTGTGACTTATTGGTAAACTAGTTTATGATTAACACAAAGCTTACCTCTCCACAATGGCGAAGTGACTTAAAAAGACATAATGCAATTAGACATAGCAGAAATGTAAAAGAGTAAAAAACAATCTTTGGACATTAAATGTATTAATCTTTAGAGCAAAGGATCTTTAAGTGCAAAGGACTTAAGACATCTAGGATACAAACTATTTTAAATCAGAATGTTGAGAATATAAACATATGGAGAATACTGATATATTCAGGAAAACATTTCAAGGAAAAGTTTGATGATTGAACTGAATATTACACATTACAGAGCTTGGTACATTCTTCGAAGAGTCCTAAGAACATGCTGCATGAGCACAAACTAGCTTCAGAGCAAAATATTTACATTAGGGACCAATACAACATTTGTTTTGCAGTGTATGGTAAAGCTCATCAATAGCTGAAAACAGTATCCTGGCCATGTGTGTCTGTCTCCTGGGGCTTGATCTCAGGGGCTGGGTGCTGTCCCTGAGCCTTTTTTTGCTCAAAGCTAGCTTTCTATCATTTGGCCAGGGAACTAAAAGTTGTTTTTACATTTTTTTCCTTCTTAGCACTATTAAGAGTTTGAACTCAGAGCTTTAACACTTGTTAGGCTGGTGCTTTACTACTTTAAGCCAAGTCTTGACATATTCCCATGGTTTGTTTATTTATTTATTGGTCTAGTCCTGGGGCCTGAACTCTGGGCCTGGGTGCTGTCCCTCAGCACTTCAGCTCAAGGCTAGCGCTCTACCACTTGAGCCACAGCGCCACTTCCGGCTTTTCTTCTTTTTGCTTATGTGGTGCTGAGGAATTGAACCCAGGGCCTCGAGCATGCAAGGCAAGCGCTCTACCACTGAGCTACCTTCCCAGCCCCCGGCTTTTTTCTTTTTGCTTATGTGGTGCTGAGGAATCTAACCCAGGGCCTCAGGCATGCAAGGCAAGTGCTCTACCACTGAGCCACCTTCCCAGCCCTAGTTTGCTTTTTTGTAGATACAAATTTGATCATCATATCATTTGGGAATGCTTGCAACATTTATAAACATGCTCTTTTATGAAAAGTTAGTTATTATTAGTATTTTCCAGGAAGTCATCATGCATGCTTTCACCTGCTAGTTTTATAATTCCAGCAATCCAGAAGACTTTGGTAGGCAGGCTGCAGTCTGTATTGGGAACTTCTACTCTCACATTTTCTGATATATCACCCCAGCAGGTCCCCATAGGTGCCTGTCATACAAGAATTATTAGGTTACTGTCTTATTAACATAAAGCCTAGATGTATTAAAAATTAAGTATTATTATCAATAACAATAATGAAGCAAAACCACCTTTTTAATCTATTTTTCTCTAAACTTATAACTGATCCTCTCCCTCGTACAGACTCTATTTGGAAAAAGCCAATGTCATACTCAAGATGAAGATAAAATTTCATATATTAGATCCATGTCAAATTCAAAATTCAACAGACCTACTATAATATGTAAAAATCCATTTTTCTAAAAGCTGAATTACAAAATTCAACTGCACAGGATAAAGCTGAAGTGAGAAGGTTGGCATTTTGGTGCATTGAATGGATACACTTAACTTTAAGATGTGGGCAAACAGCAGAAAGAAAAACTGTTCCAATTAGCAATGAGGTTTCCAACATGAAGAAATAAAATCTAGCTACTACATTTTAAATAGCAATTAAACTCATAGAATGTAAATACAGTGTACTTCAACAAACATGAAAAGCACGAGGTAAGTTAAAAGTTAAAAAGGTGGAGGCGAAGACCTGTGAGAGGTTGAGTATCAAGAGTAAACTGTTAAATAATTTCTCTTCTTGTCAGTTATGGGGCTTGAACTCAGGGCTTGGATGCTGTCCCTGAGCTTTCTTGCTCAAGGCTAGCAGGCTATCACTTTGAGCCCCAGCACCACTTTCAGTTTTCTGGTGGTTAAATGGAGATAAGAGTCTCACAGACATTTTCCTGCTTAGGCTGGCTTTTGAACCATGATCCTCATATCTCAGCCTGTGTAGCTAGGATTACAGGCATGCCACCAGCAGCTGGCTTGTTAAATAACTTCTTACTTTAACATTTCCAAGGCAAGAATTACTATAATTGGTTTTTACTATAATGAATCGGTAACCAGCAGCCTTCACACCAAATGGTTAAAGGGGGGGAGGGGGGGATTCAGAAAACTGACTGTAGGAGCATCACAAGGGGATTTTCCAACATACATGTTCCCAAATTACCACTTTCATATTTTGGTCCTTAAACCACAAGACAATTCACAATTATCTAGAGTTTAAGCAGTAGCAAATTAAGTGAATTTAGGTACATACATAAAGGTTGAAAATACTGAAAAGAAAACGTAAGACATTCAAGTTACAAGAAATAGCCAATTTGGAAACTGGAAATGCCTCCTCTGGTCCCTTAATACTTTGGTGGATAGTTATAGAACAGGCTAGTCTTCTGGAACAACATTTATCTCCTGCTCTTTCAATAATTTGTGGAATTTCATAAGGAAAGGAAGAGAATGCCAAGTAATTTTTGACTAAGGCAAGTCTAGAAACTAGATAGAACTTATCAGTAGCTATTCTTTGAGTAGTAAAGCAATGAATGACTTTATCTTAATACTTGAGATATACCCTATCTCAAGTATTAGTGATTCTGGGAAAGAAGATATATCACCTAGCTCTATAAGTTGTATAAAAACAAAAAGAAAAATAAAATCACCACCACCACCAAAACCTCTTTTATGGCTACCTTTCTTTTGTAAATTTGAAGAGTGGACCCCTCAGGTTCTGCTACCTCCCCCTATGTTATTCTTACTATAAGGCTATCCCTATTGCCAGCAGATATAAACAGAAAAGAAGAGGCTTCAATGAATATAGGTAACAAAGACTAAGCTAACATACATCAATACGAAGACCACATGTTCATTTCTATGAGAAAGACCAATTTGAACATATAGATGCAGCTACATGTATGTACAAAATTACATTAAATTGAAGTAGGGCACCCATTCCTCTCTGCTTGACTGCCCAATCTGAGAGCTGGGTTTATTTTTCATTGAGAAGAGGCATGGTTACACTGCCAAGCTAGGGATGAGGTGGATATAGTGCTAGGTAAATTTGGCACACAGGACTCCTTTTTGAGCTAGGTATAATAATCTGTCATTTTTTTGGAAAGCCTTAGCATTTGTTTGGAGGAAATTAAGTTTTAGTCACATTTCATTAAAGAAACAACATGTCAATATGCTCTCCTAAGTTTAACGTTCACTTGAGTAGGAAATCTTATGTTTTGGTCCCTATAGTCTGGATTGGTATAGGAGAAAGTAGCAGAAAGTGACATTTGTTCTTGCCTGTAAGGTTGTGGTTCTGCTAGGCCCTCTTAAACCAATCCATATGGTTTGCTCTAAGAAAACAATTAAGAAAGAAAAACATCAACAAGAGCACCAGTTATAGCATAGTATGTGCTCAATGTGTTGAAATAAGGTGATTATATTCATAGATATAACTGCCCTTTTGTTGAAAATGAGGATTCATAAATGTGGAAGACTAAATGACCCAGGGCTTCACAGCCATCTTCATCCAAGTCATCCGTCTTCTCTTGCTGGCAGGAGGGACACCTTTGAAAGTCTGGATTGGCATAGCATGAACTAGCAGAACCATCATTTACAGGTAACAACAAATTTACCTTCCAGACTCAGGAGGCGAGGTCCACCTCAGGCTCCTCCCAAACAAGGAAGATCTGCTCCACCACTTCCTGCTCCAGGGCCACTCGTGAGAACTATCTGGGAGCGACTCTCCTTCCCTGCAAGGTAAGCTGTCATCAGGTCCTGTAGGACATGGCCAAATCCAAATCTGAGGGGGGCTGTGGGGGCCCCAACACAAATGTATGATAACCTTTACCTATCTGCCTGTAAGAAAATAAGGGGGAAGGAGGACAAATGTATAACCTCTACCTATTTGTAAGAAAAGAAGGGGGCAGGAGGACTTTCTGCAGTATAAGAACATTCCTAAATAGTTCAATAGACCAGACTGCTGGTGCTGAGGCTGTTGAGGGCACATACAAAGTTTAGGGTGGAGATAAAAAGATTTTTCTCCACAAAGCTGTCAATTTATAGCTTTTGATAAATCTAGTCTTTATTATTAACAAAATGTATGAATGGGCAGAAGCTAGACCTGAACTTGTACATAGGAAACATAGGAAGAATTTATCACTATAATATGGCAAGCATATAAAAAGCCATTAAGACTGGGGGAGGAGATGTAGGGGAGAGAAAGTGGGAGAAAAATGAGGTGTGGGGGGAAATCTGACAAGAAATGTACTCACTAACCTTACATATGTAACTGTAACCCCACTGTACATCACTTTGACAATAAAATTAAAAAAGAAAAAGAACCTTAAGACTAACAGGTATATGATTACTAAAATGTATCTTGTGAGAAAGATAAAATAACATTTGATCATAAAAGAAAACATTATAAAAAAATCAGCTAGAAGCCAGGTGTGGTGGCTCATGCCTCTAATTCTAGTTTCTTCAAAAATTAAGATGGATTGGGCTGGGAAGGCAGCTCAGTGGTAGAGCGCTTGCCTTGCATGCCCGAGGCCCTGGGTTCGATTCCTCAGCACCACAGAAGAAAAAAGCCAGGGGTGGCACTGTGGCTCAAGTGGTAGAGCGCTAGCCTTGAGCTGAAGAGCTGAGGGACAGCGCCCAGGCCCAGAGCTCAAGCCCCACAACTGGACGCCCCCCCCCCCCCAAAAAAAAAATTAAGATGGAACTACAGCAGTTCAAATTCAGCCTGAAAAAAAAATTTGGGATATTCCATCTGTATCACCAGTTGGACATGGGGCACACACTTGCTATCCTAGCTACACAGGAAGTGTAGATAGTATTGGGATTTCAGGCTGGCCCAAGAAAAAAAGCAAGATGATACTTGAAAAATAATTACAGCAAAAAGGGCTAGAGGCAGGGTTCAAAAGTGGTACAGAGTGCCAGCCTACCAAACACGAGGCACTGAGTTCCCATTCCAGTGTCCCCAAAAACAAACAACAAAAAAACCAACAAAAGAATACCACTCCCCCTGAAAACAACAAACATTTCCCTCACAAACAAACCTACCTAGGAAAAGATTAGGATTCCTATATACTGCTCAATGGAATCAGCAAGTAGCAAAAACAGATTAAAAAAAAATTCCCACTCTTTCAAGGAAGTCCATTCACTTTTCAAGCAGATACTAGAGTCTGTCTTTTTGGGCTGGTGGCGGACACAAGGAGTACAGTTAAAGCACAAAAGAAAAATGGGCTACATAAGATACATAATTAAAGATGAGAAAATGTGCTTACACACACACACACACACACGCACGCACGCACGCACGCACGCACTCACGCACGCACGCACGCACGCACGCATGGGGGAGGGTGGCAGAGACCATAGGGCTGGTGGCGGGACACGAGGAGTACAGTTAGAGCACAAAAGAAAAATGGGCTACATAAGATACATGATTAAAGATGAGAAAATGTGCTTACACACAACACACACCACACACACACACACACACACACACACACGGGGGGGGGGGGGGGAAGCAGGAGCAGAGACCATAGGGCTACAGCACCACTTCTGGTTTTCTGGTGGTTATTGGAGATAAGTTTCAAGGACTTTTCTGCCCAGGCTGGCTTTGAACTGTGATCCTCAGATCTCAGCCTCCTAAGTTGCTAGAATTATAGGTATGAGCCACTGGTGCCTATTTTTTTTTGCCAGTCCTGGGGCTTGAACTCAGGGCCTGGGCACTGTCCCTGAGCCTCTCTGTGCTCAAGGATAGTGCTCTACCACTGGTGCCACAGTGCCAATTCTGGCTTTTTCAGTTTATGTGGTACTGAGGAATTGAACCCAGGGCTTTATGCATGTTAGGCAAGCATTCTGCCACTAAGCAACATTGCATTTTTTTTTTTTTCCACTTTTTTTTCTGGGTCTTTTTTTTTGGTACTGGGGATTGAACCTAAGATGTTACACTTGCACTTTGCCACTGAGCTATATCCCAGCCCAGAGACCACTAATTTGAAAGAATTAAAATAGTCCATAAATATTTAAAAAATTGCTCAAGAGATTCTAAAAAAATATTTAGAGACCCCCCCCAACCCCCCCCCCCCCACAAACAGGGCACCAGCAGCTCACACCTGTAGCTACTCAGGAGGCTGAGATTTGAGGATCACAGTTCAAAGCCAGCCCAGGCA